TTGCTCATTTTGCCTCCAAGAAATGAGCAAAAACGGGACGGAAAACATGAAATTTTGGCATAATCTTGCACCTAAGTGTCTGATATTCAAATTTCACGTTCTGGGTCAAAACCACTCGAATTTCCTCACTCACGTTGTTAGGACTGAATCGACTTTTCAATTCTCTATCCAACGGTGCCAAAACGAATTATGTGACTCGAATGGTTCTTGAGAAACTTCGAAAAAAGCAGCGTCATGTTCAAGTGGATTTTGGAACTCAAAAAAAAATCACGCAAATCTAAAACTTCTTGAATTCAAGCATTTTTTGAGAAAACTGCAACATTTCCTTATCGATGGTTCACTTACTAAATAGGTCATTTAGTTCTCTTTGGAATGATGTAAAAACGAGCGTTCTTGCTCATTTTGCTTCCGAGAAACATGCAAAACGGGACAGAAAACATGAAATTTTGCAATAATCTTGCACCACCCTTCCACAAAACGACGATAATTTTTCGAATTTCATAGGCAGCAGAAGACTGTTGTTTTTCTACATAACCCCTCCCCCCCTGAACGTAAAGCTGGATCCGTTACAAGAGACGAAAGTCGAAGTTTGGCCACTGCTTAAAATTGACGGCCGAGGCGAAACCAAGGGCGTCTTGCACGCAGGGCCTTCGACTTTGGTCTCGCATACCCTATACTATTTAAGTATAAGGTTTTGCATCATAATAGCGGTTGGGAGGAGCTTTGGTCTTATTGTCGCCACTGTGTTTGATACAGTCACTGTAATTTTAGGAGCAAAATATCTATCCAAATATCTACCTGAAAATTACGTAGCCGTTGTTGGGGACTGCGATGGTGTCCTTACCGGGTGGTAAGTCAAAGTGCCTGTGCAGCAACCCCCGTCGATCCAAGTCGAGGGCGTGTTTCAAGTTAATCTTTTTCACGTTCTGATCGGGAGACCGGCCAATACCCACAACATTAAAAGCGTAACCGTGCAGATGGAATGGATGGGACAAATTGGGCTGCTGAACTGCAAGAACACATTCAATTTATAAAATATCTGCAATTTAAAAAACCTGCCATTTTACCTTCATCTACCAGAACCACTTCAACGATAGCATTAAGTGGAATATCGATTTTGTGAGTGCACATGCAGTTGGCTCCACAATTTGGTGGTCGATTATCTCCATTACAAAACTGTGAGGGATCATTTTCATCGTACTGAGAAAGCAACGGGGCTGGTGGCGACATATGCGAAATTTCATCAATTAAGCTGATAACATGATCACCATTGGGCGCGACTGAAAAAAAAACAACAAATTTATGATCCATAGCTTGACAGCATTTACAAAAAGTTTCCATTTTGCTTTCATACTTCATCATCTATGCTACCTAATTAGCAAGAAGTACCCTAATAAAGCATGCAAAAACTATATGGTAATGCCTATCAAATGAGTCGAAAGGTGTGTTCTTTTACTGAAATAATTGCTTCATTACGGGAACTCGCTTCCAATCTAAGAGTTTATTAATTGTATTAAGTTGAAGAAGGTGTGTTTGCAGATCGGTATCTTAATAAAACAGTAACGGAGCGTAGTAGTGTAAAACGGATTAATAATTGGTAATTTGGTATTCAACGGTGTACGGTAAAGTACAATAATAAAACGTTTACTCAGGCAAGTAAACGTGTTTGTTCAACGCTGCTATCAGGATTTTTTGCAAAATCTGCGAAACTTAAGAGGATGGAAATAATCTAGTCTGTAATATATTAATAAATTTCTTAATGCTTCGCTTCTGATCCGCTAGGAATTTCCCAAGCATCAAGTTAAGAATGGCTTAAAATATCAGTGAAACCAAATGGCCATATTTTCCTGAACCGTAGTTTCAAAGGAAATAAGCTGTAAAGCCAGGGAATATTTGCGTCGTGGGACTACAATTACAAAAAATAATTTTTTTCAATAAATCTCAAAGATCCAGGACAAACAAAGGCGTTGGAGGATTTTCAGCAGTTTTCATAAAATAAATTTTGAATTCAAGAAGCTGCGTGATGGGAACGAATTTTCAAATCTCTTCGAGGTTTAAAAATTATTACCATTCTGACGGTGTAATTTTCAGAATTTTCAACAATGCTGTGGCTCTATAAGCACTTTAGCGTTCAAAACGGACATCCTTTTAAATGTTTAAAAAAAAAATTTGTTTAAGAGGAAATCAAGTGTACAAGTACTGAATATCAGAACAGCTAATACCAAAATTTCTATAGTGTCAGCAAAACCGTTGAAACTATGAGCTAAATTGCARAATTGAAAATTAATTTMTCGGTWACTGTAACAATTTTCAAAAAAWCAACTTCCAAGAAAAMACTGAAAATTACAGGAAAATTTGTTTGTTGAGTTCTTCAGCMGATATCAAGTTTKCTAAASTCAAAGTTTGTTCGTTCAGCCAGATGTTTAGAAACMTGAAATTTYGACCCTCAGAAACGACYCTTGCTGTGTAAAGGTTTTATAACKTTTYRTAGATTATATTGTTRAAAAAACTATTATTTTGCRTWGYTGTTGACTTTTCTAACTACTGATGTAGAAAAATATATTAAAATATTYACATATTCCTCACTATCAAGCTATACAGCASCAAATGAAAAAATCGGTTAAAACCTCATCWAGCTTACTTTTATAGCTACTGAAAAACTATCATCGGMATGTTTCCGTTAACGATGGCTCGTTWTAGTTAAAGCCTGAGTCGATTTCTCTTCATAGAAAAAGACAAAAAAGTGACGCACTACGGTAGCTCCAAATAAAATCTTACTTTCAATTGATGTTAATTAGACTTAATTGGTAATTTCGATCGTGGACCTCGTGTTGATCGAAAGTAGTTGTACTAGTTACCGGAAGACTAATTAATCGGGTTTAGATTAATATGCGCGATAACACCCAATGTTGTTAAAAATATAAAGGAAACCCGTTTTAATCACATTGATTTAGAGAGATCACGATGACTTCGTGATGACTGGCTGAAGAAGGAAAGTCTAACACAGCTTCAATACAATTTTACGAAATCTTACCTAAATGCCTGTTGTAGGTGTTGGGATTGAATAGATCCTCAGGAGTGTAAACGTGGAATCTGAAGGGCAAGAATATCTTCACATTGGGCTTTTCAATGAGCAGCGCCCTATCGACTTCTCGAGCATTCTTCAGCTGGTTGATGCAAACAGCATCTGGCCTTGTTTCATTGCATCTGGCATCAAGAGGATTGAGTACCTAATTGGCAGTGATATTTTTCTATTTACAATGTACAGTATTTACATATAATTGTACAATTCAAAATCGGTTGGGTCTGGATAAATAAATAATTCACCTTCATGTATAATACATTTTTACATAATGTTGCGTGGAAAGTCTTGGTCATGGCAATTTTTTACGCTTTTATGTGTAGCTTTAGTTATATACATATGGCTCAAGTATATAAATATATACATGGCGAAGCAGGTCCATTGACCACCTAGCATTGCAACTAATGGCTCTAAATTCTATTTATTCAGTATTGTTCCAACCCATTATGTACAGCTTGGTTTTTAATCTAGCCGAGCACAAATAATTGAAAAAATCCTAAGAGATGTGCGCTAATCTTCACACCGAAGTCCTTGCTTCTTTAATATGGCTTGTAATTTTCCGGGAGTTTGTTCATAAAAACCCTACAAAATTGCTAACACCATATTTACAATTATACTCACCACACCCTGAGGAATACCGAAATCGTAAGTGGGGGCGGCAGTGAAAGGAGTGTAAGGTCCTTTGTAGTATCGCAAAACGGCCAATTGTTGAACTCTTCTGATTCCACATTCTCCCAACCCTCTGAACTGGATCCAGTACGCTCCTACCGCTTGATCCGCATTGATGACAAAATCGTATCTTTCCCCTTAAAAAAATGCAGCGAAACGTAAGGTTTTTATTTCGTCTTCAGTTTAGATGTAAAAAGCCTTTAGCCAAGGCATATTTCATTTTTGCCAGTAAAGTTTTAAACTAAAACTTTTGCTTAAGTTCGGGATGCGATTAACATCTAAACATCCCGTAAAAGTCAAGCTCAGTAGTTCCCTGATAAATTGAGCAGTTTGTTAAAAAAAATGATGCATCGAAGCAATTTATTTTCATGGTCTTTTAATTTCAGCTGTCGCATTTTCATTTTCGATTCTAAATCACCCTGTATATTTTTCAAGCGTTCTTAAAGTTCCTTGAGTTAATTTTTTAGATAAACCTTCGTCTTAGTTAAGTAACCGATATTTGAAAAGTATGGCGACCTTCAAAGATTACGCAAAATTATATTAATTAATCAGTTAATTGTCAATCATTATTATCTAACTGAATCGGGTTGGTTTTGCTGTTTTCTGCGACAACTTCCACCTGCGAAAGGGCAAATGTTATGCAAAATGCTGAAATATCCTTACGAAAGTTGCCGATGACTTATGAACTTTTCGGATTTTTTTTCGGGGAACTGTTTTTTGAATTTTACTTACCAGAGAAGGAAATGATGGTGTTAACATTGACAGGATGAACCGGTTCTCCATCTGTAGCAATCAGAGTCAAAGTGTGTCCCTGGAAGGTCAATTGAGCAGGACAAACTGAAGCCAACGAATTGATCATTCGGAATCTGTATCGTTTGCCTGGCGTCATGGTGAACGTTTCCAAAGGAGTATTTGTCATAAATCCGGTATTAGGATCTCTAAACTGTCCTTTGCCGTTGATGAGCACATTTTCAGGGTCTTGTCCTATGAAACAAATAGAACGTTGAATATCCTGCAGCACTTAATAATATTCTGTAGAATAAATAATACATCACTGTCAGTTTACAAGTTCAACGACAATTTAAAATTTAAATGCAGCCTGTTTTTGTGTGAATAAATACTGTTAAGTCATATACGCGATATAATTAAATCGTTGTGTCTCTGTTCGATATTAGGCACGTGTCGTTCAATTGATTTTCTAATTGTGTGTTATTGATATTAATGAACTTTCACTTGCAGACGGAAAAACTGGGCAATATACCGCAGGTTTTTTCAGTTACACGCAAATTGGATTTATTTCACGGAATTTTCTACATGAAGCTCATTTCAAAAGATTTGGAATCTTTCATTTACCATTTTCCTCCATTCACCAAACTCTTATCAGAGTAAAAAAACAATAGTTTGAAAAAATATCATCCGTTTCTTACCAGTATTGACAGCCAATCTTCCAGGGAAACGTTCGGAAGCATCTTCGTGCATCCAATCCGACAACAAAATTACGTGGGTTGTCAGGTCGAAATCATATAAATGACTATTTGGGTCTTTGTTAGGGGGTTGGCGAATCACCAAACTTCCATAAATACCGTCCATCTTTTGTAGCCCGGTGTGAGCATGCCAAAAGTGTGTGCCAGCGTTACCTGCTATCCACTGGTATCTGAAACAATGTGGGAAACCATTGTTGAGTCAATTGTATGTTCTTGTTTTAACAAAAAAACTTAATTTTATTTTAATCTGATGACTTTGTCGGAAATTGCTAAATTGAGCACGCAGATGAATAATTATGTAGCTGTGAAGTAAACATGATTATGTGCTCATAACTTTGAGAAGTACACTTTGTGCTGTTCACACTTACATCCGCCTATCTTCTATGAAAGGCAGCATTTTAAAATCTCAAATTACACAATTTTTTTCAAAAGGCCCTGAACGTACTATGGGACTTTGCAAAGGAAAGTGAATTCTATAGATTCAACTAAGTATTGAAGTTAAGACTAAAAGCTTTCAAGATCAGCTGGATTTGCCGCCGTTAACTCCAAAAACAAAATTGTTTGCATCAATTTAGGAATTTTCGCTGTTGACCACAACTGGAATTTTTGCCGAACTCCACGTTTACATTTGAGAACTTTATTGGAAATTTGAACTGAGAAAATGCAAAAATCCTTTCTTAATGCAGATTAGTTTTAAGTCCAAATACCTTATTTTGGTAGATTATTTGAATCAGCAAAGCTTAAAAGCGCCACGCTTGCCACTGCTAGGAGGCTTTTTTGAATAATTTATCGATTTATCGTCTAGTACGCTTTCTCCTTTTAAATTGTTTTATTACAACAGAAAATATTTGGGAGACTTCGGGTAAATCGTAAGCAAATTTTGCATAAAAAAAGAAACTGTTGATATCGAAAATGGAAATTGAGCTATTGAAATTCGTCTGGCCACTTAGGAACCCTTAACACATACCAATTTTCACGTTAATGTGCAAAAGCATTGTAATATAAAATTGTTAAAGAAATCAGCAGCCGCAATTTCTATCGCACTGTTATAGTGGTTGGAAAATATCATTTTTGGTGTTGGAGAGAAAAGGTGCGAATTCCCTCACACTTCCTTGCCAAATGAAGCAACTGCTTATAAGTGCAAACTGGACTTTTATTGCCGTATAATGGCTCTATTAGCGTCGTGGAATTGCAATCAATAACATCTACAAACTTTTACTTTTCCAATTTTGAAAACGAGCTTAAAACTGTAGCATACGAGCAAAGGAGTGATGCTATTTAATTTACATTTATTTGGCACAAATAATGAGCGAATATATGAAGACTTGCATAATAAGCACAAAAGTAAGCTTCATACAAAAACTACATTTAAGCGCTAATCTTTCGCCTTTTTAAAACATTATTTGCAGTCCGTTTTACTCTGAAAAGCATCTAATTATCAACTATTTTGGTTCATAAACAAAATTCTCTGTTTTGTTACTAATGAATCAATGAATAATCTGCTTCTCCTTCAGTTGATTACTTGCTTCTGCATCAAGGCTAAAACCTGCCTGTTTCCCCATCTGGGCAAGTAAATGGCAAATGCGTATCTTAATTGATGAATGAATTGAGCTGATGCAGATTGTTCAATGAAAAATACTATCAGAAATAATTGAAACTGCGCCCCAGGCAACATTTACAAATCAATTTGTCCCATTGGAACGTGATGGTTTGACTACCAAGGTATTTGATTGACGATAATCACCACGTTTTGTAATCATAGAGAATGAGTAATTCATAAAGTAAGTTGCGACATCTGCATCTCTATTAGATGATATTTCTGGCTACTTTGACTAAGGTTAACCCCAGCTGAAGAAATGTTTTTCTCTTCAAATTGTTACCTAAATGCGTTTCCTTGCTGGATTGGGCACTGGGTAACGAAAGGAACACCATCGTAGTATTGAGATCCTCTTTGCCACACTCCGTGCCAATGGATGGTAACTTCCATACCTTCAAGATGGTTCTCAACGTCGATAACTACTTTGTCACCTTCGCAAACCTGCAAGAAAATTAAACTTGTTAACGGAGATTTGGAACTTTTGTATATGAAGTAATGGATGAGGTTTATCATAAAATTGGGATTTTTGAATAAATATGGCTTACTTGAATACTGGGTCCAGGCAACATTCTGTTGACAGAAAGCATTCCTCTTTCCACGCCGTCAGCAAGAATACATTGGCAGTTTGACCAAATGGGGTTGGTTGCGTTGGGTGTACATACTTGGCAGGCCCTGAAACATTAAATTTTTTATTAATTGATTTTCCTATTTCATCCTTGAATATTGTAAAACAAATAGAAGCCAACCTCGAACCTGAGTTCGGGCTCATTATTCAGATTTCCCCTTGCTAACTCGTATTATTTGTATGTCTTGTATATGATATCAATCAGTTGATCACATAAATTAAATTAAATAACATTTGAATGAAAACGTTTACCCATAAATAATATCCCATTCGCAAGTCGTGTTTTCGGTACACCGATCTGCAGTGTATGGAAAGTTTTATCAAACAATCTTCAGCAATTCTATCAATAAATTATCGGGTCAATGGCTAACAATTATTATGCAGAATAACTGAGGTAATTGGACATATTAGTGATCATAATCAAACTTTTTATGCAGCTGGTGAAAGTACTCGATTCAAGTTCATTCATCATCTTAAATATTCCTGCAATTTATGTTCAGCTAATGATTAGCTAGAATTTATTTATAGATTTTGATTGCATCCGACCTTTTTAATCATGTTCATTAATGATGTATCTGCTAGCACAGATAGGAATATTCGTACTTATTAAGGTTAAAATCCCGTTTCAGTGTCCAAGTTAATCAATTTACTGCATTGAGTGAAAAACTGGTTCAATATAGAATGGCTTTTTTACTCCAAATTAATTATGTATTCAAAAATCATTGTTATGACTACTGAATGCTGGCTACTGAATTTTTAACAAGTAAAAATTGATCTCATGAACAATTCAACAGGAGCAGGTGCAATAAGTTATTCTCAAACTAGTGCTACCTACGAATTTCTTATCATTTAAATTAAAACCTGCACTTTCTCATCAATATTCACCTTCAACTACATTTTCCTGTGAATAGAAGGCATTTCTTCATCAAAATGTAGATTAAATTTCACTTTAATCAGGGAGTAAAAGTACATGCAAAATGCAGAGATTGAGAAAGAGCTGATCCATTAAACTACACAAGCAAATCAATATTTTTTAACTTTGATTGATGTGGGTCCGCCTACTATTGTTTTGCCAGTTACAAATTAATTTTTTTAATAACTTTCTCTTGGAAATTTTGACTGATTTAATTAATAAACTGATTAATTGCCTTGTGATAATACGTGGGCGATGTTCTGAAGATGTTGAAGATTGCAACGTAGCATAGGGAAAGATCACTTACGCTCCTAAGACCGTGTACATTTCCAACGTGAAGTGGTAATAACATATCTTGGGTGGTTCTCCTTCGCGGCAAGCCCGAGCACATTCATCTGGAGCAGAAAGGCTGGGGTTTCTTCTCAGTTCAGCGGTTGGGGACGTTCTGAAAAAAAAAATCATTATCAAATGGTTTTTTAAAATAGTGTTGGTTTTACGGACCTGTAATCTTGATGTTTGTGCTTAATCCCTCCTCCTCTATTTCCACTGCCAGCAGTGTAGCTAATGGAATTAGTTCTGAACGGATGTGTTTGGGCGATCTCTTGCTGAGATGTGAAGAAGTTGGTGTCGACTGCATCCCAAGCGTTCCAGGAAGCTGAAGCTTGTTGGTCACCTAATGCACAACAAAATGTGGTTTTAAAAATTTTGAATATGACGCAAAAAAGAGAAATTTTAATTTGCAGGAAGTTATCTGCTGTGAAAACTCCAAAACGCAATCTAGTTCTACTTGACCGAACAGCCCGTATGTTAGCCGCATATTTATGAAGGTAATATTTCACTCTCTTTGTTCCAAATTCAAAGTCACCGAGTGGATAATGAATTATTTACATTCGTTGAAAACGCATTTGCTTACATGTGTGCAAGTGTCTAGTTTTCTCGATAGAGATCTTTCTACTCGACAACATATTTTATTGCAGTGGAATGGCCATGGCATGGAAAATAGGAAATATTTCAAAGAGTTTGATTTAACATTATTTCCACTTAAGGTACCTAAGTGGCTTGATTTAACAAAAATTTAAGAAAAAATGATCAGCATATGAAGAAGATTGAGGAACTTAATCTATGTGATTGAAATTGGACCAAATTTAGCAAAAGATAAAGAGGCAACGTCGAGGCTCAAACAAATGTTCCAAAACAGCAACGAAAAATAAAATAATTTTAAACGCAGAAAATTAGCTCTGAAACAAGCAAACAAAAGGAAATATTCGATTTAAGAAGCAGACAATAGAAAAATAGGTAAACCTGAACTCTGAACGATGAAGAAAAGCGAGCTTAGTAGTTACAGAGGAAACTTTTGCGTTGAGCAATTCTTCTCGAAATTATTCTGTAAGAGTCTTCTATTCTAAGGTGTATTTTGCATGTTTTATTTTCCTAATTTATTTCATATAATGCTAGTGTATTTTATATGACTGCGAATTTCTATTTATTATACCCACGTAGTCTATGTAGTCTTTAATACATTTTCACATAAAATAGGGGCAAATGGTTTTTAGAACTGAGCTTCTTACGTTTGCTTTTTTGTGAATTAAAATAAAAAACATGACTTCTTTGACTTTCCGCTGAGCCCAAAACTGACTTGGACCTAGTGACTTCTGAGGTTTTCTAGACCGGCTTTATTTCTGAGAAAAAATTAACCTAAATTATAATAGAAAAAAATATCTCGGAAGCCTTAGGCACAATAGTTTAATTACATTGGTTAATGCCCTTGTTATCTATAAAATTGAAGGAAATCAATGGGTGTATAAATTTAAAGTGGAAATTACGTCACAGTAAGTGCCATGCCTATATTGTGTTTCAGGCTTTGGAAAGTTCTAAACCAATAAATCAAATAAAAATTGGAACCACACGTTTTAAATAGACTTCAAACGCTACGCGCTGGCTGGTTAGTTTAGAAGTGCATATAAAATATTAATTTTAGAGCAACTTTCAAAAACCTAAGTCGTTAGTTTTACTCATGACCAGCGGATTTACTATATTATATCACATAGTCGCCTCAGTTTCTTCTGCAACATTAATTGCGACAACAACCAGACAATGAGACAATAGTTGCACTTAGCCTTTGTGGATTGTCTATGTAAATTTTCCAAAACTAAAAAAGTCAACTTAAAAGTGCGCTTGCTCAACTCAAGTCTCGCTTATTCAACAATTCCATTGTTCATATACTCCCAATGTAATTCGGCATTATTGCAAAATGATATAGGTATTGTAATATTTTACGCAGTTTATCCTGTTCGTGATCGCTTTCGTTTAGTTGCGCATCATTATTATTATGAGTGATTTTCTACTTTCTAATTTGCAATTGGTATCATATGGGGTGTTGTCTTTCCGCATTGAAAAATTTACACATTTCTTCTGAACCGCCTGTGTGGAATGATACTGGTTTTAAATTGATGTTGCTTTCGCTTCAAATAACGCGTTAATCTGATTTTCCGCGGGCGATGCTTTGAAACCTGTAAAATCCATTGTGCGATTCATTCATCAATCTGACTTAATTTGATCTTGTTTTTCTATTAGTGTTTCGCCTAAAGCCCTCAAGCTTTTGAAATTGAATAATTCTCGATTTTACGTTGTTTTAAAGGCTTGAAAATGCACGGGAAGCAATTTGAAAATGTAATAAACTGGAATATTGCGAAAGATGAGACTGCAGCAATAAAATCGCTTATATTATATAACGGCGACTTTGCACATATTTTCATGCAAAAGGTAAATTGCCGATATTTCAACCTCTAATCACTCAAAATTTGCATAGCAATCCAATTACTTCTACTTGGGTGAAATTCGCATAATTAGCACAAATGTGCTCCTGCGTGCAAGTATGCACTCGTAACAACTTTACCTGTAGATATACACAATTGAAATTAATCCAGTTTTAACGAAAAAAAATAGCAATAAAGGCGCATAGCTATTTTAACTAGATGCGATTACGTTACCTTGCAAGTAAAATTAATTGCAAAAATCCGAGAAAAGAGAAATGTGATACTTTTTATTCACTTCACCTGAAGCATAAATCAAATATTGTACTCAATTATCTCTGAATGTATTGGGAATTTTATTAAATAAATCGGGGTTGTTTTAGTAACTGTCCCTTTGAAAATTGCAATAGCCATGAAACTACTCCAGTTACTGCTAATTTATACCAAAATAGTAGGATTCATAAAAACGATTTCTAATGATGCTCATCAAATCAGGGCAAATCCGATAATTTCTGCAAACTTGGGAATAAAGTTTATTGTTTTCATTTCAACACGTTTTTCGGTTCGAAAATCAGCTAATTGACCAATTAGATTCAGGTTGCGATAGATCTTTATTTATTTTTAATGATGGATTGGATAATGTTGTTATTAAGGTGAAAATTGGTTCAGATTTGAATTTGCCACTTGAATACTGTCGAGAAAACTGATGAGTAAGCAGTTATTTATTATTTTTGCCTTGGGTTTTAAACGTTTTCAGATAAAAAAAATTATTAGCAAAAGTACTGTTTTATTAGACACTGTATGTCTAACCTTCAGATGCATATTCAATGTCTACCCACACATTTTAAACAGTATTTTCAGGCCTAAAGATGCTGAGGTTTTGCCTGAAATAAAAATGCGCTGCCCAGGTGGAAATCTGCACAAATATAATTTTATTCCGCTTGCCCAAGAACGAAGCAGAAAAAAATATCAATCTGACTTGAAGACTCGTCATTTTCCAAGCACTTTAAATATTCGGAATTCAGAATAAAAATACTGAAACAAACAGACACGAAGAACCACACACAACGAAATCAATCAAGAATCTGCCACCTGCACTGGCTTTTAAACAGAAGAGTCCAGATGAATGTGAAGAACAAGCTTCTATTCATCAAGACACTTATCACTTATGAGAACCGAACTAGCGTAAACTTTGAAAAGCTATTCATGATGGAGAAATGGAAGAGAAACTGAAGCTTTTGGCAACGTCAAAGCCACCTTAGTTGTTCCGCTGCGCCAGGACATGGGAAAAATGAAGTGCAAGTTCCGGGAGTGTTATTTGCAGGCTAAACCCCGCTGGTGAGACCCAATAAGCTCCGAACCCCTCCTGATTATGCCTGAGATTAACATATCTTAAAATATGTACCTATTTACTACTACTGCCAAAAAACTACATCATTTTTTTCTGACTGCAGGAAATAATTAATGACAAATAAATCCGAAAAAGTTTGTTGTGTAGTTTGGCAAGGCGACTATTTTTATTTATTATTAATGTACCCTTGTGCAGCTGGCTAATAATTTCAATGCAGATTGTACTAGATCCTGTTAATACGTATTACCGTTCCGCAATGGGTTGGTCATTAAAAGATAATCTAAGCAAGTGCCAGCCAAATGAGTTGAAGACCTAAAAAACAGTCCACATTAATCAGCCAGTGTTGAAATGCAAGCCTAGTAATGATTCGACACATTTGTTTAGATCTCTCAGAGAATTCTCACAAAAGCCTTGCATTGTTTGCTGTTAGTAGTTCAAGAAAAAAAAAGTTGCACAAAATATATGCAACACTGGAGGCACGGGATATGTTGATTGAGACAACTTGTTTTTCGGTTGTTCCCATTCGGATTAGATTCGGTTTTATAATTGTTTTTAAATTGTGGCCCTAGCCTGCAGGCGTAGATGGTGAGATTTTCTGAATGAATGTTCCTTGAGCAGCTTCTTTGCATATGAAACAATACATTTATCACACGATTTCCGTAATATGCATTCTCCATTGATTTATTCACTGTAGCAGAAAATACAATGGAGTTTCAAGGAAATTTGTCAGTGGTACAGGCAATTTGCCTCCAATAATAAAATTGCTGGGTATTAAGTGAACAAATGGCTCTGAAAGGTTGCAAATCGACCTTTCATTTGCTTACATATTTCTGTAATATTCGGATCGTTATCTGTGAAATACTTGTATCAACAATTTGGTGTCAATGCTACTCATACTTGCGGTTTTTCTGATGGTTAACCAACACTTTATTATCTACATTGCCCATATTGTTACTTAACGCCGATTGATACCTGATTATAATTAGGTATATGGGAAACCCAATGTTGCCAAAAAAGTTCAATAGCAATTACTCAGTTCGAAACATAGCTGATTTATTTGCATAATGGCACCACGCCTGCTAAACTCGGAAATTATTTGTTGCTACAACATTCCTTCAAATTTACTGAGTATTAGAGCGTAAATGTCGGTTACTTCATAAGGAATTGGAATATTTATCGCCAAAATTTGCCATACAAGGTGGTGTTTTTGTCTCAATGTATCCAGCATTCTTTCCCAAATCATTCATTCATAGCTTGGAACATTGGGTCAGTTTATGAAGAAATAAAATGCAACGTTCGGTGTTTCTTAAGCATCTGGGTTGCTTTCAACGATTTGCATCTTTGAATACTTGTCCTTATCTAAGCTAATTGAATTTCACACGGTAATGATTCGCATGATGCAACACACTTAGTTGTACTCATAGCGCATATTTAATATGTTTTCGGCCAACTTAAATCGCCTAGGTTAATGCTAATTATTTGGTTTCAAATACTCTAAAAACAATGATCATTGAACAGTTAAGTGATGCCAATAAACTTTACTCCGTTTAATTAGAAACATTCTCCAAA